ATTTTATCATCCAAAGAAGGTATCGACCCCGAACTAATCGGCTGCACATATCTGGGATCCACTGGACTGATCTAAACAAACCCGTGTCGGTTGATCTCTAATCGCATCCTCCTGTTGCTCGGCGCCCTTTCAGGTAACTGGATCAAAGAATGAAGAGCAGGTTCTGAACGCCATAGAAGCCTACACAGAGTTTCGTCCGGAGCTCGCCCACAGAGCCATCAACCAGCTGTTTGACATCGCCCGGATACAACACTGCAGCCAGCTGCTGCGAGCCCTGCAGGTCAGAACCTGGACCCACACGTCTGATTTCCAGCCGCCTCGCTGCTTCAGACTCTCAGTTTGTTTCTGCTCTTTAACAGCTCGTGATCGCCGCTCTGAAGTGCCATAAATACGATAAGAGCATCCAGGTGACGGGCAGCGCCGCTCTCTTCTACCTGACCAACACGGAGTACCGCAGCGACCAGAGCGTGCGGTTACGCCGGGAGGTCATCCAGGTGGTTTTGAACGGGATGGAGCAGTACCAGGAGGTCACTGTAAGTCAGATGGTTCCGTTGGGTAGAAAATCTACAGTTTGATCTGTTTTCAGTGAGCGGATGTCTTTCCTCCGGTTGAAACTTCTCCATATTCTCGCTTCAGGTCCAGAGAAACTGCTGCTTGACTTTGTGTAACTTCAGTATCCCAGAGGAGCTGGAGTTCCAGTACAGCCGGGTCAACCAGCTGCTGCTGAAGATCCTGGAGCCGGCCCGGCAGGACGAGTCCATCCAGAGGATCGCCGTTCACCTCTGCAACGCTTTGGTCTGCCAGGTGGACAACCACCACAAGGAGGCTGTGGGGAAGATGGGCTTCGTCAAGGTAACTCCCTTTATAACCTCAGGAGGATTTAATGTGTGCTTCTGGAAGATGAATTTAGACAAAAACCTTGCTCTGATGAAGGTTGGAAATGTGAGATATGGATGTTCCTAAAGCCCCGTTTACACCGCCTTTTTGAAACCGTGCCGAGATCCAAGCATGATAACTGAGATAAATGTTGATTGTAAAAGGAATGCAAAACTGAACCTAACCGTGCTAAACTGGCACTAGTTCATCTCCTTACAGTCAGCCTCTTTAATCATGCAATTTCAGATATTCATAACTCCCTAATGTGAGACATGATTTCCAGTCATGATTCTGCTTAGCGGTGTGATGAACCTCAACGTCTGTCATTGTTTCCTGCGTCTGTAACCCCCCCGATTAGACGATCGTTTGTCGTATCCACTTCCCAAAAGCCGACTCTGTTTAGTAAATTCACCAAAGGCTGCCTTCGTCTAACCTGACAACAGCCAGATGCATGTCTCGCTCCGCCCAGCTCCACTCACATACATCTGGGA